GTGAAGAGATTGCTTCAAGAAGGCGTTGCGCGAGTAACAGCCGAACATTGGAACAATTTAATTAGACACTCGGTATCGGAAGAACACAAATTTTGGGAAATTGACAACGTCGTTGACAGAATAATAGATGAAGTACAACCCATAATTATTAATGTGAACGGTGAAAGTGATTCTGATAGCAGCGGTACAGACTAGTTTTTTATGTTTTAAATAATAAAATGTTTTTTTAATTAATATTTTTACCTTTTCAATAATAAATGACTTATTTTAAACATATTTATAGTTTATTTTACATGACGCTGATAAATTTATTACACCTAATTAACCTACTACACTGAAGAAGCGCCTACGGCTAAGATTTAATGTATAACGGTCCTGTGTAGCTCGCTATAAACTTCTCCCACTCTAATCGCCAATGCGCGAAGCAAGTCCATTCTCTCGTTGGATAAGGTATAGATGCTTTATTTGAGACTGTGCAACATTTTGAAAATTCGAAAATTTTTTTCACAAAATTATTCTGCGAAAACTATCAAACCGATTTTAATGAAATTTGATGTGTTGGTTTATTATACTCTAAATTTTTTTTCACCAAAATTAGAATGCCCTCGGAGCAATTAAAAAAAATATCCAAAAAACTTGATTTTTTGACCTTTTTTTTCATCAATTATTGCTATTTTGCAACATCGGTAATAAATTTAAACATTTTCAACTCGCAGTGTATTGTGCAGAGTTCTATTCTAAAACTTTTTTTCCTGTTCAATATTCTTCCAAAATGCATAGGTTCCAAGATATAAATAAAAAACTCAGATAAAATAGGTATTTTTTAAACATTTTTGCAATTTTGATGAAATGCTGCCCGTTCATGAATAAATAGATTTGCTGTACTTTTTACGAAAATTGAATTGATTTTTATTAATTGTTGCATTAGTACTAGTTTTAATGTTTCTTTCAAAAATTTCTGAGCTTCACTTGTTTCTTAATTTGTTTGCGGTTTATATGTATATATCGGAACACGCTTTGTATGATAAGGCAAATTTTAAATAATTGAGAAAATTATTTTTGACAATTCATGCATCAGTGACAAGTAAAAATTAATTTTGATGTCGATCATCTAACAATAGGTTTAGGGGGAAAATTAAAAAAAATTATACCAGATAAAGAAAAACGTCTATCGAAAATTNTCTTTTCGATTACTTTAAAATTATAATTTTTGAAAAAATCTAAATTGCAAATTGATAAATGTAATCTAATTGTTTAAAAATAAAAAATGTGTTAACTTTAAAAATTTACTGTGGCCGTCCTAATCAACCGATTTCAATTTTTCAAAAACCATTAGAAAGGTTGAGTGGTCTTTTCTATTTGAAAAAATATTCAAGTATCTAGATGCTTTATTTGAGACTGTGCAACATTTTGAAAATTCGAAAATTTTGTTCAAAAAATTATTTTGCGAAAACTATCAAACCGATTTTAATGAAATTTGATGTGTTGGTTTATTATACTCTAAATTTTTTTTTTACCAAAATTAGAATGCCCTCGGAGCAATTAAAAAATTATCCAAAAAACTTGATTTTTTTACCTTTTTTTCATCAATTATTGCTATTTTGCAACATCGGTAATAAATTTAAACATTTTTAACTCGCAGTGTATTGTGCAAAGTTCTATTCTAAAACTTTTTTTTCCTGTTCAATATTCTTCCAAAATGCATAGGTTCCAAGATACAAATAAAAAACTCAGATAAAATAGGTATTTTTTAAAACATTTTTGCAATTTTGATGAAATGCTGCCCATTCATGAATAAATAGATTTGCTGTACTTTTTACGAAAATTGAATTGATTTTTATTAATTGTCGCATTAGTACTAGTTTTAATGTTTCTTTCAAAAATTTCTGAGCTTCACTTGTTTCTTAATTTGTTTGCGGTTTATATGTATATATCGGAACACGCTTTGTATGATAAGGCAAATTTTAAATAATTGAGAAAATTATTTTTGACAATTCATGCATCAGTGACAAGTAAAAATTAATTTTGATGTCGATCATCTAACAATAGGTTTAGGGGGAAAATTAAAAAAAATTATACCAGATAAAGAAAAACGTCTATCGAAAAGTGTTTAGACTGAGATTTATAGTCACAAAAAAATTAAATACTTCACTTGAATATTGACTGTCACTGTGAGATTTCAAATCAGCTTTCTTTTTAAAAACTGATAATTTTTCGAAATGCTTAAAATTTACATAATACCTATAAAGGGACTTAAAACAACATATACTTTTTTTTTAATTCACCTTCACTGTATTGGCACGGTAACAAGCTAAATTGCGAAACAATCACTGAGCAAAGAATTTAAATACGTACCACACCTTCCAATATTCTTTTCTATTTTTCTTTAATAGAATACACCAGAAAATTACACTTCACACCAGCCTACTAAGAAATGCGCGGGTCTCAAGTCATCTAGCAATTATATGAATGTAAAATGTTGGTAGCCTATAGGACTGAACAAATGTATCAATTAAGTCAAGGTTATTATTAAGTAACTTTCTTATATAATAAATATATAAACTTTGGGGTATAATAATGTATTCCATATTTCGTCATTTCTCAATACGCCAATGGTTGAAATTTTTAAATATAGGTAATTCAGAAAATAATAATTATGTTTTTTACAACTTTTGTATATTACACTATAAGAAAGGATTTTGGTTAAATCACACAGTAAAATGTAAGGAAATGCATTTTTATAATAAATATTTTGGCATCAAAAAATAAATACGGTAAATCGTCATTATTTCCAATAATAAAACTGAATCTAGGTTTTTATTTATTGTGTTTGTTTACAAAGCATTATTTCAAATTTTACCAGAACATTTGATAGTTAACACCTATATTAAAAGTATCTATTTCAATGTTATACATAGATGCAATACACCTATTTGTAATACTGGTTGCCTATTGGTATTTATCGTGGTGTTGTCGATCTTGGTTTGTAAAATAATAAATTTTTTTGTGATATTGAATGCTCATATAGATTTCCAAAGTTATTTTAAAATAGGTACTTATTCAAGTTAATAAAAATTTAAGAAGATCCATCAATTACTTGATTGTGTCAATTTTTATACAATTTTCACCATTTGCAAATGGAACTATTTTTAAAAATTTAACAGTAATAAAACTTGCGCAAAAGTACAATATCTACCTCTGCAAATAGTTGATATCTGTAGACAGAAATGGGAAGTGAAGTAATGTATTATCTTATTTTAGTTATTTTCAATGTCTGTTACCCGTTTTAGAACCATATCAAATTAATTAACAAATTACTCAATAGTTTGTAGGTGTTATTGAGGCAAATTACTGAAACATCTCCCATGGCACACATTCGTATTCCCTTTATATATGATTATTTATAGTTGATTTCACTTTTACAAGTTATTTGTACAGGTATCCTATAAAGGTAGATACTGTTGTAACACGTAGATAATTTAGTTATATCTTGAATTATTCCGCTTTGCGTAATAGTAAATTCTGTAACATGCTAATTCATAAATAATGCTAATGCACAAATTCTGCTCTTTAATCCTCACCATTTTATAGTGCACAGAGGGAAGACTATTGAAAATTGAAGAAATATGATATACTAATTAGAGACCCTGGTACAAGAAGGGAATAATTGTATAAATTTGAAAAAATAAGATAGGTTTAAAGATTATTATTTTTGTCTAGCACAAATTCGGAAAATATGCATATAATATTCCACCTGTGGGTACACATGTTCGTAAGTGACCCATTTTAAGCATTACGTCAAGAGCGCCGCCGGACGCACCAACCTTCCAGGAAGGGTCTACGGCGGGTTGGCGCCGGCTACTAGATGCGTACTCATATACCTACGACCGACTCCACACACAGGGACTCTCCAAGGAACACTCACCCGGTCAACACGTCTTTTTCTATACAACTTAGTTTTCAATAAAATACTTTATTATTACCGTTGAGAGAGCGTTTTATTCTCGCTGCACAGCGAAAGCAACCCTCACACCAATCTTATGCTTTTGACTTTCATACTTACATTTAGAAAAAAATGACAATTATAGAAAGTTTGATAGATCTATCAATAACAAAACGGAAGATAAGACCCAAACAGTTTTCTATGAGGTCAATGTGTTAGTAACAGATTTTTGTTAATATTGTGGCCATATATAGATCCATCAAATCTCATACCATTGTAATCTTAAGAAACCGTTTAATCTAAATGGGTAGGTGTACAGGTAAAGAGATCAAGGCTTCTAGATATATCCGCATGAAGCATCCAATTGTTTTTCTAGGTACCGTTTTAAAAATTTCCTACAGATTTGGGTCCATATCACCATTTTTTTTTTTAAATATGAAAATCAAAATGATAAGGGCGGTTATGCGAATAACACTCCAAAATTAATGAAAACTGAACAAAGGATAAAGTTATCCCATCTTATAGTCAGCTGCAATAATGTGATAAGTTACATGTCACTTATCTCGTTCCTGCACCACAAAAGTATTGGTTTATCCACTCTCTCAGCAAATGTTACAATTGCTTCAAAAAATGATATGACGGTTATAAATACCAATTAAAAAAAACGTTTTTGTTGGAAAATTTATATATCGTTACTGTTCTCCTCCTATAAAGGTACTTAATCGAATTTTTAAGAAAAAAAAACCAAGACTCAATTTTTAATTTTTATTAAACAGTATACAGAAGAAAACAAAAACAGAACAATAAACAAAAAGAAACTTATTCTACAAACAATAATTAATCTTGGCACAATATCGTTCAAACACTTAAGACAGTAATGTTTTTAAAATATCAATTTATGAAAAAAGATATACTTAGAATAGTTTACAATAAAAAAATGCCCTAGATTTCAGATAGTTGAAATGTTTCAATTTGTTTACAAAATAACACAATGTAAAAATAAAAATTGATTCAGAGTCGGGAATAAAATTTGAAAGCAAAAATTTATGTATTCCATAGTTTTTCCTTAAAACTTATACTTTACTTCAAAAATTTTTAATACCATTTCTTGAAAATATTTTTTTTGCTTAACTTTATTCAATAATGGCTGAGTTAATAGAGAAACAGAAAACGAAAATTATTTTATACTGTGAAGTAACTGACAATGAGACTTGATTAAATTGGTACATTTTTATATTTCCAGTGTTTCAAAAATAAAAATATTACAAGTTTAACTACAACAGCTAAATAGCTTTAGAATTTATAATAAATACAGCTTCCCTTTTGAGCAAATGGTAACAAAAACTATAGATCGGATTTTTTCAAATTATTTAAAGATCTGAGTTTACTTTTTATATTGAAATGAACATGAATTTGAATTAGATCAACTAGGGACCTTGACGATAAATTATTTTATCAGTTAATTGTCAGAAAAAATTCTTATAATTTTGGGACGAAAAATATTTCTAGTCTCAGATACTTTATTTCAATTATAGAAAACTAATCTTTAGTTCATAAATCCTTTTATATTAACATATTTGGTGACCTAACTACTCCAATAAATATTATTCCAAATAACAAATATACTACAACTTAATGTCCTCAGACAAAACGGAATTATTTTATTCAGTAAAATTTGTGTCTATGTATAGGCAAACTATCTACTTCAGCTACAAGTAACGTGCTAAAATTGCAATTCTACTTAAACATATATCACAACAACGGGATAAAGGTGGCTAAACTGAGTTAGGATCAGAAAAAATGGGTTTGTCCGTTGTAGCTTCGATTACAATAGCTTTGGAGCCGAACACTTTCCTCAAGAAGGGTCTCATTGACTCCAGCAGTCGCTGTGTTCTTAGGGCAGAATTCTACAACAAAACAGAAAGGTTAAATGTTGATGTTGATGATGAAATAAGGATGATTTAGACACCGGTAATTGTAAGCTTAAGTTAATCTACCAAGTGAAATGTTATGCATGTAGAAATAGAACCGTTGATCAAATATATGACATTTCCGTTTATTTTATAGTTATTGTGTTAATGACTGGGCTAGATAAGATTTAGATGCAAAATTATAACAATCGCAACATTTACTTCCGAAGAATATTGTGACCTATTAACTAAGTACAGTCCTGTTTTCAGGAATATGTTACATGTATGCGGGAGTAATATCTGATCATATTTCAACTGCCAAGAAATAAAATAATATTTGACAAATTGCTTATCACTTGGGCTCATCGCAGAATAATTATCAATTTTTATTTTACTGCATTTCTTTTTGCAGTTACGAATATGCGATAATAATAGACATTTTCAATAATTTAAATCTTGTAAAACGGTGCATACAAATAATAACCAAAAATCTTGAAACCTATTGAGCACCTCTACAATCGTTCCCGACTTACAAACTACATAAAAGGAGGTGAATAGTTGTGGCACTGAATAGAGTATCGTCCGCTTTATCGTTTCTTTTTTTATAGTTAACAAAAAAAATTGCCAAATTTTAGGTCTTCTATTAACAAAACTATTAGTGAACAAATGTTTATGTAAAGTTTGTTAATTTTCTTTAATTGTTTTCGCCTTTGGAAAAGACAATGTATCCTGTGTTGTATATTATATAAGTGGAAATGAACATATTAAAAATGACTCATTAATACAGTAACAATAAATCAATGAAAATGATAAAGTATGGAATTCTGTTGAAAATATCTTGTAACCAAGAAGAGAGCCATCGGTGGTCAGCGGTTCCAAAAATATATCTTCGTATTATTGTCGGAAATCAGTAGGTATTACAATCGTGTCTGTCGATACAAGTGTTTAACACCCTGTATATAAAGCGTGACCCTAACTCATATTAAATTTATTATAAGTTTTTATAGTTTTTAGAATAATTACTTCAGAAAAAAAATTAGAAATCTAATGCGTTACCATAAGCCAAAATGTAAAAATGTAAATGTTGCACAAGAGTAAACGACATTTATTTTAAAAGATATGTAAAAATTCTATTAAGGAAAGTTGTACAAAATAAAAAGGTATGACCAAATTAAATAGAATATTTTGACTTCAAGTTTGTACTGTAGTATTTGTGGTCTTTCATTGAAAGACACCCAGTAAATAAAGATATTTTTATACAGCTGGAACAATATTTTGTAATAATTCATAATTATATTTAATATTATAAGGCAAAATCCAAATTACTGAATTTATTTATTCTATTTTAGCTCCAATAGTATGTTCGGTACGTTTGTCAGATGATATTGGGTCCATCGATCATTTTTGTGTAACTTTAATACAAAGGTAAGCATATTATATTAGCATTAAATAATATAAATGTTAGAGGAATTTTTATTTACTCTCCGTCGTTGTAATTTTTTTATTTATTGACCGATTTAAGATTTTTTTTGTTTAGATAGATCTCTTGCGAGGTTCGCCAGAAATATTTCGGTAGTACAAAAATTAAATAACTGTTATTAGCAATATTTTTTAAGGAAACAATCCCAACGGATTCTCAGTCAGACTGACCTGAAACACAAATACACCCATTTTTAGTACCACCATAAAATACAGGGTGTTTGTTCCGTAACTGTGATAACATGTAAAAAGTGAATCAAAGTGAAGAAATTGATTTGGAAATATTTTAGGGGGTGGTTATTTTGTTAAAAAAAGTTCATATAACGTAGGTCGAAATATGCTTCGTTTTCGAGATACAGAATAGAGGGATGGATAAATGGGCATTTTTTGGGGTGAATATTTGAATATTTCTACTTGCACCAGTGGCGTTCGTGGGAGAATTCAACAACTTTTTAAATAAAAATAAACGGTACGCCACTGACTTTTTTCCGTTTTGATATTTTTTGGAAATCCGCCATCAATTCTGTATGAAATTGGTATCTTCAATTTTTTTCGTAAGATCCACCGTTTTTGAGGAAAAAAATAAAACATATTTTATTGTAGATTTTGTTAATCTTTTATTTAAGGGTTTCTTTTAATAAAGCTTGGCCAAAGTAAAAATTCAACATTGAAAATAAAAAGCTGATATGGATGTGGATAAAAAATTCTTCGATTTCGAGATACAGGATGTTCAAACCTTTTTGAAATAATTAATAAAAATAAATAAAAAATTAAATTTTAAACACCCCCAGAAATATTTCGCACTTATTTACAAACACCCTGTATACATATTTTGTTAGTATTTATCATGTTCTATTATTTTATAATGTATACACTTCAATGTTCTTATGGATAGAAACCGTTTATTGCGATATAGCAAAGTTGTTTTTCATTAAAATAGTCATTTGCCTGAGAAAAACAATTTTTTTTTCATGTAATATTTCTATTTTAGACAAATTCTTTCATGTTTAAAAAAAAACAGAATATTATCATTCCTAGTTTCTTTTTTGTTTCACTTTAACCTTGGTAGTAAAACTAGCCCCTAAATATTTTTTCCAATGAAAATAACTCGTTGTTTACAGTTAATATAATACTGATAGAATCATTTCTGCAACTATTATTTAATACTGAAGAAACTATTGCCTTAAATTATTTTTTAGTAATTATAATTTTTCCAAAAGTTTTTGCAAAATGTTATAGATAAGGCAGCAGGTTATTTTCACGTATTTATATTTTTTACGTATATAACCCCGCTCTATAAAAAAAAATAACCAAGTGATGATAAGGAAATAGTCCATCGTATTTTTAGACATTGTTATTTTTGTTAAAAAACTCGATAGTAAGAAATTCAATTTGGGTTAAGAGATTAAGGACATTTGACTGTTAACCGCCGATATTTTTTTATCATGACTTTTTAACCTTAGAAAAATAAACAAAGTATCTTCAGTACATGAATACTATTTAGGATAGTTTACGCAATTAACCACATAACCACATTTAGCGTACCGACAAGTGGTAACTCTTTTTTAAAGCAGCTTGTTCGTGGTTCTGCTTAACCTCGAAAGCTAAAAACCGTTGTAAAGGTGAATTTATATAAAAAATTCAGGGTTAAGGTTGTAACTTTAAATATACTTAATTAGCCAATCTTAATCAACATACAATGACAGTGAAACTCGCTTTTTAATTTAACAATTTGTTTATGCTTAATACTCAAGTTAATTATTGTTTCAGCAATTCAACGCTTTATAATTGTTATATTCTATTTCATTACCTTTAGTAACTGACTGATAAAAATATCAAAATAAAATTTGTACAAGGTAGGTCCAAAGACCGTAATTCTCACCTAGGTTACAAATCCTCAGTATTACTTATTTAAACTAGTCCATATCGTATGTCAATGTATTTTGATGATCCGAAAACAATTTTTCACTAGTTGCCTTCCGGTTCCACTTATACAGGGTGTTCCTTGAAAAGTGTAATAGAGGGCATAGAAATGAGCAACTTTTATTAAGCAACCGATGGTCTAAATACTTCTGTTTTCGAGAAAATTTATCAAGAAAATTAACCATAAATGTATGCCGACCCTGTGCATCTTGTGCACGTGTACGACCAGAATGATTCGGACCCACTACATGCGTGAAGCGCTTCTTTAGTTGGCTGACGTTTCAGTGACTTCCACAATCAAGCAAATCTGATGGTAGGTCAACAGTCAGTATGTCTTATGTTCTTTAGTTGTCTGTTATTTAGCGCATAAAATGGTTTCTGATCAAGAACTAGCAGATATGGTGTTATTGTACGGAGAATGTCAGTACAGTTACTTGTCTTTTGTATGCGGTCCGTTACCATAACAGACGACAATCTAACAGTAGAACAGTGCAAAAGGCAGTTCAAAGGTTACGAGATGTCGGGATTGTCCACCTGACAGATCAAGGATGAGAAAGGCCGCAACATGTTTTCGACAATGAAAAAAACATCATAAACCTCATTGAGGAAGATCCGAGAAGCAGAACTACAATTATTACACCCCTATCTTGTACAAAGGGTTCAGGCACTAAATAACAATGATTTTCAGTTCAATTTTACCAGTAGTTTAAATAAATAAACCTTTATATGAATTTTGTTTTCAACTTAAAAAGTGATGTTTTAGACGACCAGTTGCTTAATAAATGTTGCTCATTTTCCTGCCCTCTATCACCTTTTTCAAGGAACCCACTTATTTCAGAAACACCCTGTATAAGTATTTTGATCATTCAATAAAATAAATTTGAACTACTATGCCCAAGTGTTTGAGTGATATGATCAAGAAGACCAGAAGCGATTGATGATGAAAGAATGAACATCAGTTCTTCTTCGGATAATGTTCCTGTTAGAGCAACGATAATGATCAAGCGGAAATGGAAGAGAGTGTAATTAAAACAGAAGAAGGTGAAACAGAAGGAAGGGAGGACGAATACGTACCAGCAGGTGAAGCAAAACGTTCAGATCTAGGTATATAATCAGGAAGAGTTGAATGATCTGATTAGAAACAGGTAAGGCTGCGGAATTATCGAATCGAAGATTGGTAGTATCAGGAACGAAATTAACTTTTTACAGGACCTGAGAATCGAAGTTTCCATAGTTCTTCAATAAAGAAGACGATGGCCCTTTGATGTACTCTACAGATGTTTACTGTTTGATGAATAAATTGAAACCTAACGTTGACAAATCCGAAGAGTGGACATTGTTCATAGACTCAAAACAGCTTGAAAGCGGTACAATTAATTGCCAAATGGAAATAAATGCACCTGTAATCCCAATGCCCACTCAATCATATTAAGAGAAAGTTATAAAAACATGAGATACGCTCTGCAGAAAATTGAATGTATAGAAGCAAGTTCTTTTCATTTTGGACAGGGAAGCAATCACTACAAAAATAAACAATATTCGACAAGAGAAACACTCCCAGGAAGTCACTCATCATTCTTTGATTGATTCTTCGAAAATGCTGCTTGTCAAGGCTTTAAATAAAAACCGAAATTGTCTCCAAACTTAACTAGTCATTTTCTGAATTTAAGTAACACAAAATTGAAAAAGATATATTCGGCGGACTTCAGATCTGGAAAATATTTGCTATGAACATTTCACAATAACAATGACAGATATTGACAGAGCGGCATGCTTGAATTTTTGGCAATGTCTTCCATAATTTCTAAGGGAAGACGAATTAGTGTTTAGTACATTAAAATGCATAAGAATAAGGCTTTATCCGGTCCAAATAAATTATTTCAAAACATTACTAATGTCTATTAGCTGACTTTTCTATGATTTTTCGGAATTTTTAGTCAAATCCTGTGTATGTTGGAAAACTAACGACGGATTTGAAATCATCGCGCTAAAGTAAGTGTCTCCAGGTCAGCCCACTTTTTTATTTCGTGTGTCTGTGTAATCAATCCTATAATAGTTATTACTGTAATTATTACAGGAAACTAAGTTAACAACAATGCGCGCTCCAATTTTTTTATGCAATTAGATACCGAAAGCATCGGTAGTGACATTGCTACGCGATGACAGATCAATTGTGAAGCTTTACTTTGTGGATAGAAATAGTTTGCTTTTTAATTAGTACATTTGTACAGTTATAAAATTCTACTTACAATCATGAAATCTCCTACAGTGGTAGATAAGTTGGTTACCAACGTGAAAGAAGACCCAAAAAGTTGCCCTGGAATATCCAATGAGACTGGTTTTCCTGGTTCAAAAATGACAATGTCTTCAGTCGTAGTAGGACCTTTTGGGGTAGTCGTTATTTCCCAGGCAAAACCTTTGGAATGAGGACCCTGAAAAAGTAACGTTACTCGGTTAATAATAAGACCTACTAGTACAATTTAATTGAAATAGATAAGGGAAAATAAGACAGAAAGAATGATAGGAAGAGAAAACGCAGTCTCTGAAAAAATTGTTAGTACACCTCGTCATGATAGAGCTATTAGTTAGCATTTGTATAAATCAAGTAGGTCACGATCGTGCAGTTATGTAATTTTAGATAAATATCCCCTTTCAGAATAAATTTAGATGTAATGTAAGATATTTTCTTTGTATATAAAATGTAGTAGTGATTTTCTTTTATGATGTTATGATGTTTATGATTATGACGATAAATGTCCAGTACTTGAAATAATTATAAGCATTTAAATATAGAAAACCGAGTTCAAACAAATTCTGATAATCGAAGCAAAAAATGTAAGTATCTGTTTTCTTTTCGACCATTAATCACTCACTGATATCTAAGAACTGAACGAAAATAAAGACGAAGAAAACTAACAACTCGCTTTATCTAGAAGTTGGATTGAACCTTTGGTAGCATCATCAAAAAAATGATGATTGGTTACCTAACCTTAAAAAATTTTGAGTTATGCAATAATATACCTAATATTGCAAGAAATCATGCGGATGTGCCAGAAACATTGGGATTAAGAAAGACGATATATACCAATTTGCCTATACAAAACTCAAGGCCTACTGATATACAGGATGTCCTAGAAATAAGTAGTTACCAATATTTTAACCACGCATTTAAACAAATGCAATAACTTTTGTCTTGAGATTTTATATCAAAAATCTCTTAATTTTTGTTGATCTTGACTGGTACCAGTAAAAATGCTTAATTAAGTTAATAAAAAGAAAGAAGCAAAGCACAAAAAATGAGAATTAGTGCTAGTTTTTATGCTAAATAAAGCAAATAAAAGCATAATAAAATTTTTTTTTTACTATTTAAGAAATATATTGCAGGTAAATCAAAACGTGTTCCAAATAAAATATCTCTAGATAAAAAAGTTTTAGACACGTTGTTTCGTAGTACCACCTTAAGTGACTGTATATATGTATAGCTAAGATGATCTAAATCATGTTATTTCTAGGACACTCTTTAGAAGTAATATGATCTTCAGATATAGGAGACGGAAAATGAGCCTGCTAAAACGAGAAGATGGTAATGAAACATTGAATAAGATACTAAAAATTTTCGAAAAATGTTCAGGAAATTATACAAAATAAAACGAACAAAGATAACGAGAAAAACAATGAAATTGAAAGAACTCAAACAAACAAAAAAGGCACTAGCACAAAATTATTATTTTGTTTTTTTGACATAGTTTACGCAATTTTTTAGAAATACAAATGCCTACATTATAGATTATTTTTTTAGCCATGTACAATCGTTCCCCAAACTGTCAAATTTCTGCGCAAAAATGATTGTTATTAATAGCATGAGGACACCTTGTATAGGTCTAACAATAAAATCAACAACTATATTTCTAATAATTTCTTAGCATGGACATCGTGTATAAGTTGGCCCACTTAAAACTAAAAAGGAATTATAGGGAAAACAGACTTCATTAAGTTGTAAATCAAATAGGTATATAAGCACTGCCAAATGCTGTAGTAAGTGGTCTTATAGCGAAAGGCAATGGAAGTATGTACAAAGGAAATGGAGTATATAAGACAACTTCAAAGAGAAACAAAAGACATTGGATGGGATACCTTAAAAAATGATGCAAAAATAAAAAAAAACAAAAAATTTGTTCTACAGCTATATGGACGAACTAAGTAAATAAGACATGCAATTTTCCATAAACCGTAAAAATAAATTGAAAATTATTGTTATAATAAATGATATTCATATTTTTTATGTTGGGCAGCAGAAATATAAAAAGAAAAATAGTTCCGACTACTAAAATACATTAAAATCTACTGACCCCTTTCTAAATGGCGAAGTTGCACAAAAATGTGATTTGACACGAGTATTTCATGCCATTAAATGATATAGTTACATAATACTTGCAACCAGATATAAACTTGAAAAAAATGTAGTAAATCTTTAAGATAAATGTAACTACAACGGTTTTTACAATTTTTTAAGTCAAGGTCTATCATATGAAAATTTATGATGGTGTCAAAGAACTGTTTTGAAGGTCTCAAACCGTAATATTTTAATTAAGTAATAAAGATTGTCGATACTGTGAAGGTGTTTCTTCATGTGGAATGAATACCTAATAAACGCGAAACCAAAAAATTAAAATTTTGCAGAGTATTAAGAAATATTAAGCCAGTAACACGCAAGTTTCTGAGACACATATCATACATACTTGTATCTGTTACTGCTTGTATAAAGTGTTCGATTTAGTTCAATTTTTTCCTAACGCGAACAAAGCAAGACCTTTGTGTCGCAATGCATTTTTTGTTAAAAATAGAAAGAGCAGGAACTATTCTCTAGAATTAATCATAATTTTTTGTCAATCACTTTTATTTCATTCTCCTTGATATCAAGTTTCCTTTCCGTTCACTCACATTTTTATCATACTTCTTTTGATAATATTCGAAATATTGTAATTAAGTGATTGTTTGCAATATTTTTCTGTAACTTAATTAAACCTACTCGACAGCAGGAATTGCTCGATTTTTGTAATGCAGCGACTGATATCCGTTCCCTAATCAAAGGAAAAAAACATACAAATAAATACGAAATATATTAAATTATTGTTTTATTAACCATATGTACAAAAAACTACATCACTATATAAAAATTTACAATCAATTTATTTACAAAATTGTTTAGTTACACAAAAATATTACAAACAATACCACTGCATAAATTTTTAACAAAATGGCATAAACGACAACAAACAAGAAATAAAATTAATAAATTGAAAGGTATTCAAGATGGTCCTACTTTTTGTTTGAAGATGTTGCAAAATAAAGGGTCACGACGGAATTGACAGATTACAACAAACGTAAAATGATATATTGTAAAGTGAAAGTAAATATCAAGTGGTCCTAAATATGGATAATTGCTTAAGAGAAGACACATGGAAACAAGTTTCTGAATAAATTGAGCAATAAAGCCGTCATCGGCTATAAATGACTAAAAATGAAATGAAATGTTATGGTGCTTATAAAATAAAAGTTAGTCCTGAATATATTCACACTTACGTATTACTTTTTGAGTATTATGCGATGACTAGAATCTTACTAATCTGCAAAAATATTTAACATAGTAATTTTAAAAGTCAAACAACCATGTTCGACTAGTAACTTTTGTTACGTAACTACTAAAACTTTCTTGTTGTAATCTGTTGCATTCCTCTTCTAAATAATAAATAGAATTTGATATTTTCCGCCAAAGTTTTGCAAAGCAGCTTAGTATACATTAAGATATGAAAAATGAATAATAAAAAAATTGAGCAAATTTTCTTTGATTCTAATAAGAAGCAATCTCCACACCACTACTTATAACTGAAACATTTTCCATACCCGAAGATATAAATATATGGCATATACCAAGCTGCTTTACGATCAAAGACTGAAAGCACCAATAACTCCTCTAGGTTTTAAAGTGAAAGTCCCCTTCCCTAAACTGCACTACCGTGACCTCCGTGGCCTGCTCCGCCGCTCACGAGGGCCCCAAAGTTGAAGCCTTTGTGGGCCCCGCTGGAGCTAGCCGCGCCAAGTTTATTGGTTACGATGGACAGTATAGGACCAGCAGCCTGGAGTTTCTGACCAATTACCCCTGAAATGATTCCGGAAAGAGACACCACGGGATCCGCGGGAGGGACAATGTGATGAGCAGCGTTTTTGGCGATGTTGGTCTTGTCCAACTGGTCTACCAAATAGGTCTTGTGGTCGATGAAGGAGTTTATTTTCTGTGGAGGCAATTAGTTAGTGATTTATGATATCATGAGACTTTGGTTAGATCATTTCCTATCCTGGTTCTTTATTATGTAAAATACCTAATGAAACTACACATGAAGACATCATGAAAGGCTTCTACTTACAATCTTGAACATAGCGTTAATCTCAATAACATGCACATTAAATAACATTCACCAGAAGGGCATTCCAATATTGATATCGATGAAGATGAGAATAGAATAGTACCTTATTTTAGACTCTACAAAAATATCTGGAAATATTGCTATTATACAATCAAAAGATATCTTGGATACCTTAGTAGGTACCTGACAATATATATTTTTTTTAAAGTTGTACCTAATAAAAATTATTTAAGCGTATGAAACTGGATTTTGAAACAAAATTGTCGTATATTTTATGCTTGCAAAATCTAATAATGACAACTATCTGGTAAAACAGATAGTTTTGAAGAGTAAGAGCAATAAAACTCACTTTTCACTATTTAAGATCGAACTACTACTGAATATAATTAGGTACTGGTCTCTGTATTGTTTATATTAGTAATAGTGGGAAATACATGTACACATATTATTGTTATTCGAATTATTCGAATGAAAATAACTGAAGACTTCTTATATTGATTATTTGTATATGAGTTTTTGCAATCACATTTTAACAATAGAAAGAAATTAAATGGTATACAACCGTCAAAATGGAAAAACTGCTGCTAAATAATAATGTAATGTATATAAACAGGATTTTGTAAGTATACAGTTACCCATGGATGAAATTTAAAAGAAATGAAAGTGGAACATTTTATTTTTTGGAACAGATGTAGTTTTAAGTGAAGCTACATATACAGGGTGTTCTCGGCCAAAAAATAATTAGAAATAAACAAGTAGTAGCTGATTTTATTGTTAAAGTTCAAAAATATACTGTCAAATAACGCATAAACAGTTGTTTTCCGACATTTGACATGTACAAAGATAATCTTAATTTTGACATCTTGTTGAGTAATAGGTTAACTATTGGTGACAATTTTGTTGAGAGACAAAATTACTAGGAATGTACGAAATTTGATGATAATCGGTAAAGATTTAACAATATAAAGACCGTATTAAAAAAATATCAATTATTTTCAAATTTGGCATTGATATACAAATTTTGATTTCTTTTAAATCTTACTCCTTCAAAATTTTTCGATATCATACGAATACGGTATTAGAAAATAATTATTTTGTTCCTGATAAAGGATAATTTTTTGAGAAATAAAATTGCGATACAAATTAGTTGTTTGTGTATTTCTTAATGAGCATATTGTATTATTAAGCTCTAAAAATAAATCTGGCCAATATATTTCTAATAATTTGTCAACGGAAGTTACCCTGTATAAGTCAACTCGCTTAAAAATTCACTTTTGTATATTTCACACAAGCGGATTTTTTTTAGTCGACTTTGTTCTGCAAAAAAGGAAGGTTTTCTCTTTCTTCAAATCCATCCTAAACTCACTATATACATACATACAATGTAAAACGCATTTTAATTAATTTAATGCAAATCTATTTGATTTTTTAACTTTATTAAATATTTTAAATTCGTACTTTTAAAGATAGATTTTAAATTATTATTTTACCACATTGTAAAATTATAATTATTTCACTAAGATATATTATTTTTATTGCAAGAAATTAGTTTTGCTTCTATTTTATCTTACACAAAACTCTACGTGAATATTTACTATCCACTTATATTTAGAAGAAATAATTATGGTTTTAGAACATCTTAGAATATTACTTAAGATGTAGAAAACCCATTAGTTTGCGCAACTAAAGTATATTCAACGACATTTAAACATGTATTTCAGGTGTTTTTGAAAGTCGAAACTGTAGATAATAAATGATTATGTTATAACGTGCTGGCTGCTGGCTCTCCCGATTACAAGGCATAGTCGACTCCATAAAACAATAATAGAGCTATTTCTACGATTATTAGACAAAGAGAACACGATATTTTTCAGTTTTCACCACTGGAGTGGTCCAAGTCCTCTCTTAAAAATACTCACAACAGCAACAACACGTTATTTATGAGTTTTGTAATCAAATGGCGACCAGCACTATACAAAGTGTCCATGAAATCAGCGCCAACATTTTAATGACGTGTTTAACTCATCGAAAGCAACATATTTTATCTAATTAATTCGAAAACTAACGTTTTTCTGCGATATTTTATAATCATAAAATTTTGATTGCTCCAGGGGGGGGGGGTAATAAACCTGTAAAAATGCTAAGATGTTTTCAAAAAAAATGAACGTTGCTTTTGATGATTTACATGCGTGGTTAAATTTTTGGCATTTAATGGTAGATTACTGGGGAGATCAAAATAATATGATTGAGTCAAATATACTTTAACGAAATGTATATACAGGATGTGAAAGTATAAAGAAAAACAATATTTTACAAATTATTTCACTAATCAACTTGAAAATTGTCTGTTTTTTAGAGAGAGAAATTGAAAAATAGTTTTCACCATATACTGGTGGAATAAAATATTTTCCTTCACGTAATGGATAAATGGGGTAACAGTGATAATTACTTAATTTTGAACAATAATGATAAACTAGTTGAAAGCAAAGAAACCCGAGAGTTTTCGAGATAAAATCTAATCTTTCTTTCATTACATGTTGAACAGAAACAGGGCCGTAAGGTATCAAATAAGCTGCAAATTTTATTAAAAGCAATTTTATTATTGTTACTTTTATGAGCGCTTTTGACAGTTAAATTGATTTTTTGTCTTTGATATCCCATTTTGTTTGTTTTTGTTACCCAACGCATGTTTAGAATGAATCTGTCTCCCAAAGTCTGAACTATACGTAATAATTTTTTTAGTTTGAAATGAATAGTCTTTTTGAAGTTCTGGCCCCAGAAAACTAAAATTTGCAATTTGATTGATGAAATAGTTTTCCTGGTATTGCTACCATTCATTTATTTTTTTTATTCAACACCCTGTAAATTGAAAAGAGGCAACAATTATCGTCTCATTCTTAATTAAACTGCCTACATACCTCTTCCATTTTGTTAGAACCTTTAACGTTACAAAACATAGCATTAAACATGCTTGCATTAATACGCTGAGGTGTTTTTATTAATTAATTAATTTATTTGATATCTCATACTCACATTAAACACAAATCCTAGTACAGCATTTTTCACTCCCGTTACTACTTCGACTTTCCTTTTTTCTCTGTTTATGGTGTTAGCCATGAATTCCTGAAATAAAGGGACAGTGAAATAATGCATATGGACCCATTTACCACTTCTTCAGATCATCCGTGTCTTCAAAAATAAACGAAATTGTTAGGTGCTACTTTGATTTAAATTCCTTCTAGGTGCACTTTTAAAAGGAATTATTTACTTTTTTGAAAACAGTATTTATAATTTATAAGTATCTGTCTACTTTGTTTTAATAAACATTTTTCCACTTCTATTATTTTATTATTTACAATGAATATTATTGGATTTCATTACTTTTTTCATCTAAATTTTGTTGTGCGAAATAGATTTTTTTTCTCTCCGCCCCCGTAGAGCTTGTTACGCCACTGTGTCCGGCTAAATATAAAAGTAACGAAAGGTGATGCGAGATGAAAGTTAAAGTTCGGACATTTGCCGTAGAAAGCAAAACTTGTTGAAAGAGAAATTCTTATACTGTTAAGTTTGTGTGAATTTACTTTCTTCAAACTGATTCAAAAAAATTAATAGGAACGCAAATAAAACCATTAAAGTGATTTCTCAAAAGTTTATTTATCGATCAGGTTTTTCACGGCAAAACAGCTTAATGATCAATAATAAATATTTTATTAATAGTTTAGTATTAGTTATGTACGCATTCATATCTAAAATTCACATTTATAATCAAATACCGTTGCAACAATGGTTTAATGTAGGTATAACAAATTAATTTCCAAAGAAATTTTAGAGAGTGAGATATCGCAGCTTATTTAATGCTAATAATAAATGCGTGCGTATATTAAGAGGAGATTATGCAATAAGACAAATTAGCAATGGTACTAAAAACTGTAATTTGTAATCGTCAACAAAACGATTATTTTCCGACAAAATTGAGGACAGTTCGATACTATGTTCATTTATTTTCATTATAAAACAATAAAGCTCACATACAGGTTGTTCAACATTATACGTAGCAAACAAAACAAGAATAATGAAATGAATTTGAATAAAATTGGTTTATATAAATCAAATTTTCAGTAATTTTACATAATTTAAAATGGAAAAGCAGGTCTTGTTATCGAATAGTTAAACTTTAAGCGAACCTGGTAAATGTACCGACCATATTAAAAACAACGGTGTTCCAATATATCCTTTAAACCATTGCAACATGGCTATTAACATATTGACCGTTAACATATGAAGTAATAAGCTACGTGTTTTAACTTTTTATAAGCAGGTAATTGACTCCATATCTTCGTCTCCTTAATGGTTCTGGGAGATTATTATTCATCTCAAACAACAAATAAAATATTGAAGATTTAAAACAAAGTATCTATAAATAGATTGAAAACAATGAAATATTTAAACACATTTTGCAAAAATAATATAAAATACAGTAGAATATTATATGTATAAAGAATAATTGTAAAAATGTACGTATTTATTAAAATTTCTGCCAAATGATTTCAACTCTTTTATTTTAGTTTTAGTACTTTGCATATGAATAATTTATATCAGAAAATTGTGTCATTATATAAATTATCATATTCTTTTGTCAATTATATAATACGTGCATTGGTTTATAAAGGTTTATGTGTACAATAGTACAATGCAAGGTCATACTATTTGGTGTTAAATTCTAATGTGGAAATTAAAATTTGGCATCGATCTCTAGCGCATCTCCAATATCTCAGAAATAATATTTCTATATTATTCCGAATATGTCAGGCTTTCTATCATTTTTATGTTTAATATTGAGGCTCTTAAGTTGCTTTGGGAAATTAAAAATAATATTTTTTAATGTCAAATAACTCCGAACTTATTTCAAGAATTCAAAAACTTGTCAATTTCATGGATGTCGTGATTTCCGATTTAATAGAAAATTGTATTCTTTAACTGGTAGCTTGGCTATGTGCCAATAAAACAGGTTATTGTCAAATTTTCGTCAAATTAAATTTTACTAAATTTGTATTTTATCATAAAATGTGACTACTCATGATTGTATATTTCACTTAATCATAGATACGGTAAAAGTATGTGGTTTAGTGGCTTTTAATTAATGTATCTTTTTACTTTTACAATTCTGAATAAACCACAAAAATAATTAATAAATCAAGAAAACATTATTTAACAAAAACAAGTAAACTCAGCAAATCTCTTTTATTATTATTGCCTTGGAAGTAGACTGTACCAGTCAAGTAGAATACATTATTTCAAGTGTAAAAATTAAATTAATATTCAAAGTAATTAAAAGTACTCAAGGTTTAATTGTTGTATACAGAATTTCACATCGCACTTGAGGTTCTTTGAAAAGAAATCTACGGATGAATTTGCTGTACCGGTGGACTTTAAGTATTCATAAAACAGCCATAATCCTGTAATAATATCCTTATAATGCAAATGTAATGCATAGAGAAAAAGTTCCTGGTTGTGAGAAACGAATAGGAAATTCTCATCAAATGGGGTCCGTATTACGAATGAAAATTGAATGAGCTGTGAAGGCTATAATTCATGAATTCACACTAATTTGACAGATAAAACAGTTCAAAAAAACAGATCCAGTGCTTAAGAAAATTCTTTTGTGTTGCAGAAAATCGACAAATTCGACTTTAGTGCGTTTCTGCACCTTTTAGTTCAAAACTGACCAATTTATTCACCATTGGCCCACAGCTTCCTGTATTTCTTGGTCTATTTTACTACATATAAAAGTACAACACTTTCCGAGAATTGTATAAAAAGCAATGCACTATTTACAATCGAATCGATCGTGGGTGTTTATTGGTCCACTTCAAGTAAACGTCAAAAATAACTTTTGTTTTACGAATAGAAGGCTAGAGTTACTTTCGTTTTTCAAGGGGAAATCTACTTGTCACTAGGTGGATAATATGAAAGACAATTAGCAAGCAAATAACTATTCAAATTGTATCTCTGTACGAACAGCAATTAAATTTAATGCACATTTATGCAATGTTTCACAAACTACAGTTACCATTACATTTAGCTGAATAAATAATTAAGAAAATTCAAGCTTTTCCATAACGAACCACGTGTGGGGAATGTACGTAAGAGAAAATAGACACTGATACATTTACTTTGATTGGTGCAGCGTAAACGACCATATAAGGAATTTCTATTTGGAAACACGAAATTCTGATACATTCTTGCCAAGTTGGTTTGTTGATACAAGAACATTCGTTATTCTAAAATGAACATAACTCATCTGTAATTTAAGATATATTTATATATTTACAAACACATATATAAATCATAAATTAACATAAATACGAATTGGTGTAGCCCTAGTTTTAAACTTATAATAATTAAATTAACAGAGATAAAAACTAGAATGAAACAGTTCCATCGCGATTCCTCAATTATCATATTTATTGGGTGACCTTTACATTTCATTCAACATATTCTAAAATCCAGTTGCTGGTAACGGTTCTGTTTGTAACAACACAACAACTCGAAGAAAGTTGATAATTTCACACGATTATCTAACCGAGTAGAATAGAAGTGATGATGTGAGACTCGTAACAAGAACAGCTAGATTTACTTTCGTCGAAATATATTACGTTTTTATTAAAAATTCGATGGAAATGTCAATTAGAAATTTAAGAAATATGAAAGTTTCGGGCGGGCAGCTCGCGGGATTTTGAAAGTGAAAGTAGAGACATTAGCGGCGAATTTACTTTTCGTGTTTCCAAATTTAGTGCCTGTTATTGTCAATTTAATGTGTTAACAAAATATTTTATTGTAATTAATAAATAGCGGTACTTACTTCTACATGAGGGTCTATATGGGGATGAGCTGCTTCTCTTTTAGCAATGGTTCTACTTTCTGCTACGCCACAAATGGCAGCTAGAGAAATTAGAGCAGTTATTGACCAAAAAACCTGCCTCATTTTGCTGGAAAAAGAAAAACAAGTTAGAAACTTAACCAGTCCACACTTCTTACTATTTCAGTTATTATATGTACACTAGCAGTATTAATTAAGTCACAGTACCTAGTACTGTGAGGACAGCATAAATCGCAAGTAAAGAAAATAAGAGTGAGACTTTGTTAATATATTCTCTAATTGTTATATAAAAAAAGAACAGGTTAGCAATTATCAAGTGTAGTGAAAGGTTTTGTTAAGGTAATATAAATATACTAGTTCAGGTAATTTTAAAAAATTATCATTGATGGTCTCCGGCTTAGCAGAGACATTTCCGTGAAACCAAATTTTCATTGAAGAATTGTCGGCGCACACACCAAAAACAAAATTAACCAAGGCACTACTGCAATTGTAACGAGCACGTTTCAGCGGAATTAAAAAATGGCGTCGGGCATGTAAACAATAAAAAAATAACAAAACTTCTTACACTATCCTGCGTCGAGTCTTAACTAAGGAGTGAATGTGATAATCTGCTTAAATTCTTCTTATTTCTAAGCGCGTATGTAGGTCGTAAATGGTCGAGACTTGACGAAGAGTGCACCGAGGGGAAACCAACGAGGTCAAGGAGGGTATGGCGCGCTGATATGGGGTACTGCCTCTTAAAATTCGTGCTCCCCAATTCGGCATGGATGCAGTATTATATAATTTTTGGAACTTGAACTTGGGTTTTGATCATCGTTTGTTCTGGGGTGGGACGGGGGTTAGGGAGGAGAATAATAATAAAGAAGTATACAACGTGAACCCCCTCTGATATGCTTAGGTTATTTGGTCAAGGAAAAAAAAATATTTCGAGACGGAAAGACACGTTTTAAAATTAGCGTGATGCATAGATGTGTATTTTTTTAAATGGACACCATGACTTTTTTTGTTACAATTGCCGCATGCTTAATTTCTAGATACAATATTAAATTCATAAAAATAATAGTCCAGACGGTATCTGTTTCAAAAAGCCATATTTGGGTGAATCGTATATCCACGGAGATTTTTGGCTTTTTGGCTTTCAAATATCACTAGAAATTAAAATTTTTCTATGCGCAAAAAAAACAACGTAGGTTTAACTTTTGTCGGCACAATATGTTATAAAAATTCGAAAAATGTCATATTTTTCTTCCTATTTGATTATGTATCTTTTCAAGAGTTGAATTTAGAGAGGAGGAAAAAAATGTTTGAAATTAATTTTTTTTTACAAAACATGACTAGTTACAAATCGAATGAATCATGATTTTTATGGTAAAAAGCGAAAAAAATCGCAAAAATGTGGTTAAAAAAACAACACTTTTTAGGGAATTTTTTTGGGGTCTTTAAATTGGGTATAGGACCTTCATACCTGGCTCAAGAAAACTTCATGTTATGTAGAACCATCACACCAAATTTCATCAAAATCGGTTAGACAGATTTTGCATAATAATTTTGCAATCCAGATTTTGAAAAAAAAAAATTGTAAATTTTCAGAATTTTGCACAGCAAAAACCAAGGCCCTTAGATACTTGAAAATTTAATCACATATAGAAGGGCTCTCAAGCTTTCAAACGCTTTTCGAAAAATTCGAATCCGTTAATTAGGAGAGCTCTGACGCTTGTTTAAACATTGGTCGAATTTTTGTACTTATAAACAATTAGAATAACTGTGAATATTCAATCAAATTAAATTTTTTAAAGCNGCCAAAAAGCCAAAAATCTCCGTGTATATACGATTCACCCAAACCAAAACAGATACCGCCTAGTCTATAATATCTTTATCGCTCCTCACTTACGGAACAATAATTATACTACTACTACTAACAAAACAATCAGAAGAAAGATAAACATGCAGAGAGATTTTAAAAAGTTTCATATTAACGAAAGATCCTATCCTGATCTTGTAATTGTGTGCAGCAATCAATTTTTTTTTTAAATCATCAAAATGAATGTCACGTGAGTGATATAATTTATTAAAGTTACAGAATAATGTACAGGGTGATACTTTAAATACAAATACTGCAAGACTAGATTCATTACAAAAAAATAAGTAGGGTTTGCTTTACATACTTTTTTTCTGCGGGATTCGGTATTCGAGATACAGTGTTAAAGTTTACAAAGAAATTAAATTTCTTCTGCCATATCTTCATAATGCGCTGATGGAATTGAATGAAATTTACCTTTTATTGAATGTAATATTAAACTTGTGACTTTAACCAGTGGCGTGCTACTGGAGATGCCACCCCATTTCCTTAAGAAACAAATACGCCGCTGGTGATTTTTTGTAGAAGTAATGTTACATTAAATGAATGTTGTTTTTAAATAGTAGCAGCCGTTTGGGATATATTTGGGCTTGTTTTTGCGTTTTATTGAATTTTCCTTTTCCTAATAATTTAATCCGTTTATTTGATGAAAACCTCTTTGTTTTAACCAGTAACCCAAGAAAAGAATACACCACCGGCGGTTTTTATAGAAATAATATTATTTGTGAAAAAAATATCAAACTAAATAATAAAATAACTTTGGTATACAACAATTGTTCAAAACGAAGTCCTTCCGCATCGATATACCTACTTTTGACATCTTATAATCTATTTTCCCTGAGGAGATTACAATTTTTCTCTATTTGTGTCTTGTTCATAAGTCCAACAAGGACTACGGCTTTAGGAATAAATAAACAAAGCTGGGTATAATACTAAAACGACATCATCGTAAAGCTTACTAATTGATAATGCAGACAAAATAATAAATTTTTGCAGATGGATTTTAAACAAAAATGAGTATGTGGACTAAATTTGCGCATGATGATTGGCAGATAAGTAATTATCTCCTAAACGGCTGCTACTATTAAAAAATATCAAGAATCACTTTTGTTTCATTTAACGTCACAGTACCTGAATTTAACATTATTTCTACAAAAAACTGCCAGTGGCGTATTTTTTGCTTGGGAAAACGGAGCGGCACCTTCAGCAGCACTGGTTAATGCCACGAGATTAATATTACATTCAATAAAAGGTCTAATTAAGCGAATATGCTGTAGTAAATTTCTTTCATTCAAATCGTCCAGCGCAATATGAAAGTATGAGCGAAAAAAATATTTTTTAGGAAACTAGAACACCCTGTATCCCAGTTTATAGAGCAAACTCTACATATTTTTTAGCAACTTATATATTCCTGCAATTTCTGTATTTAAAGTAAATACACTTTGTATATAAAACATATTTCAAATAAAGATTTGTTCTTGAAATGTTAAGAAAAAATGTGTATACATTTTGTATACATTTTGAATAGTTTCTGGGTATATTAAACCGAATTTGTGACAGAAGAATGGATCAAACAATATTATGTAGGTGGTGAAGAACATTATCTTCTTAGGTAAAAGCTNGTCCTATACCCAATTTAAATACCCCAAAAAAATTCCCTAAAAAGTATTGCTTTTAACCCCAGTTTTGGGATTGTTTCGACTTTTACCATAATAATCATGATTCATTCGATTCGTAACTACTCATGTTTTGTAAAAAATTTAATTACATACATTTTTCTCCTCTTCCATTTTCGCCTAAAATCAACTCTTGAAAAAATACATAATTAAATAGGAAGAAAAATATGACATTTTTCGAATTTTTATAACATATTGTGCTGCGAAAAGTTAAGCCCACGTTTTTTTTAGGCGCATAGAAAAATTTCACTTCTAGTGATATTTAAAAGCCAAAAAGCCAAAACTCTCCGTGTATATACGATTCACCTAAACCAAAACAGATACCGCCTAGTCCATAATATCTTTATCGCTCCTCACTTACGGAACAATTATACTACTACTACTAACAAAACAATCGGAACAAAGATAAACATGCAGAGAGATTTTAAAAAGTCTCATATTAACGAAAGATCCTATCCTGATCTTGTAATTGTGTGCAGCAATCAAATTTTTTTTAAAATCATCAAAATAAGTAGGGTTTGCTTTACAAACTTTTTTCTGCGGGACTCAGTATTCGAGATACAGGGTGTTAAAGTTTACAAAGAAAATATATTTTTTCTGCCATATATTCATAATGCGCTGATGGAATTGAATGAAATTTATCTTTTATTGAATGTAATATTAAACTTGTGACTTTAACCAGTGGCGTGCTACTGGAGGTGCCACCCCATTTCCTTAAGAAACAAATACGCCGCTAGCGATTTTATGTAGAAATATTGTTACATTCAGGTATTGTTACGTTAAATGAATCTTGTTTTTAAATAGTAGCAGCCGTTTGGGATATATTTGGGCTTGTTTTTACGTTTTATTGAATTTTCCTTTTCCTAATAATTTAATCCGTTTATTTGATGAAAGCCTCCTTGTTTTAACCAGTAACCCAAGAAAAGAATACACCACTGGCGGTTTTTATAGAAATAATATTATTTGTGGAAAAAATATCAAACTAAATAATAAAATAACTTTGGCATACAACAATTGTTCAAAACGAAGTCCTTCCGTTTTTGTCTACATTTTGAATGGTTTCTGGGTATATTAAACCGAATTTGTGTGAATGAATGAATGTGTGAATTTGTGAGAATGGAGCAAACAATATTATGTAGATGGTAAAGAACATTATCTTCTTAGGTAAAAGCTGAATATTAAATTAAATAATTCAATTAAATCCTGTCAGCAGCGTATTATATTGTGTATCTAATTTTGGGTTAGAATTTTTTTAAGTACAAAATTTTTAAAAACTTTCTATACTTCTGATATGTGGATTCCAAATAGTGGAACCATAGAACGAATATTATAACGTTTTTAAAGCTTTAATGTTGTTGAAGCTTCTGAAATGAAACCATACGATTTTTCTGTCTCATTTATCTCACTAAAAAATAAAATATGTGTTCTCGCAAAGATAAACTAAAATCAAAACATCCACCAAGGTCTTTAACGGTTTCGTAGCGGGAAACTGCAGTGCCAAATAACATATTTAAAAAATTTTATTACAATTTTACATTTAGATATATTAAGGTACCTACAATTTTTTCTAGGACACCAAGTGTGCAAATTGGTTAAAGATTCTATATTATTAAGCAATCACCTACTGAACAACCAGATGTAAAGATTTTGATATCATCAGCAAAATAATAGCTTATTACAATAACCTGCTGGACAAATGTCGTTAATGAAAAGGAAAAATAATGAAGGT